CACACACACACACACACACACACACACACACACATCTACATGCGTATGCACATCGGTGAACAAAACTGAACAGTAACGACATGAAGATTATTTCGATCTCGCCGGAAGGTGATCCCACCAGCATCACAGTCAGGCAGAGCTACGCTCAAGCCACTGAGACAAAGAACTGTATTCCTCTGGCCCATCGCGGTTCTCTTCAATCGAAGTGAGAGCGTAGTGATTCAGAAAACGAATGGCCAAGGTCTCTTTGACCTTGCACCATTGTTGTAGTAGCGCTACTTCACACAAGGTCATGTTATGCTTACAATACGAGAACCCAATCAGATCGCTGCGGAAAAGGGGGGGCTGCGCCACACTGGCTGCGCGAGCGCGTCATGATTGACGTGTGCTTGGCTCCGCCCCGTATTTTTTTCTTTCCACATCGGCTATATAAGTTGGCCGCATTTCTGGCGGGAGCGACAGCGCGGTGGGTGAAAGGATAACTACTACAACTATCGGAGTACACCGAACAGGATATCGGTTGTTTTTTTCCGTTCATTTCAAACTTTGCTTCAGGCACTTGCCATGGATACCAGACTTGAATTTCGGCCCATCCAGGCAGACAGTGGAGACACAGTGGGTCCGGTAAGGGACAGTGTAGATAAATACAGATATCTAGATGTAGATCTAATCTAGATCTAGATTTAGAGTGTTATGTAGACTAGTTTACTGAGAACGTTTTTGTTAGATTCTAGTGTGAGTAGTACATAGATCTAGATTCTTAGCCCTACGCGATTTCATGCAGTTAGGCAATACCGCCGGTTGAAGTTTGTTTTAAACATGCAAATTTTGTATTTTGACTTAGATCTCTAGATCTAGATCTAGATAGAATCTAATTTAGGAATTACATCTTGACAGAATTAGGACCGGTAGGCTAACTTAGATTCTTGATTTCTAGATTCTAGGGCGCTCTTTCGGTAGATCTAGTTCCCACCCCGCAATTTTATTAACGGGTTTGGGCCACAAGAGTAGGGGGGTTTCAGGGGGGCTTGCCCCCCTGACCTAATAAAAATAGGAAGGGGGGTCATGCCCCCCCCCCCCCCTGAATTTTACCATAATTTAATATTTTGCAGTTGTTAGGTTTGATATCTTAGCTCACCGCGAATCAAACGTATAGATCTAATCTACAGATATCTAGAATCTAGTATCTAGATCTAGATTTAGATCTAGATATCTAGATGTAGGTCAGGCTCAAATAAGGGGGGTGGGAACTACCGAAAAACTACATCTGTTCATTTCAACTTGTTTTTGCTGGGTTTCGTTTTGCGCTCGTTCTTGGTTAAGCCATGAGCCTAGATCTAGATCTAAATCTAGATCTAGATCTAAATCAGATCTAGATCTATACCTACTATAGATAGCCTACTAGATCTAGAAGTCTAGATCTAATCTAGATCTAGATCTAGATCTTCTACTAGAATTCTAGATAGCTAGATCTAGATCTAGAATCTATCTAGATCTACATTAGGCTAGTCTTCAGTGTTGAATGTGCACTGTGCAGCCAATGTTTCTCTTCTTTGGCTCGCGCAGTAAATTTGAAAATTGGCCCGTTGCCGGCCGGGGGGGGGGGGGGGCGCAGCACAGAATGGCCCTATTATCTTGACTTGGTGGCCAAAGAGTCTGGATCTAGGTTAGAGAATGTAGCCTAGTCTAGTGCTTTATACCGGGAATGGACGTGAACACGAATGTAACCGGCTAGGCCTATTCTAGGCAAGAATCTAGGCTAGACTACTCATCGGTCGATGTAGGGGCCAGCGCTTTCGGTCCCGGAACAGCGGGATTTTGAATCTCATCGGGCGGCTCTTGTTGATCTAGATCTAGATCTATCTAGATCTAGATATTAAGATCTGGATTTCTGGATAGATATACTTGAATCTATATTTTTGTCTTTGTAGTGTTTTGTAGATCTAAATCTAGTATATCTAGATCTAGAATCTAGATCTATCTCTTAATTTGTGTGTGTGGGGAGGTTGCGGTGACTTTCGGCAATGCTCCTGTGGTGAACTCATTCAGTTTTTCCCCGCAGATGGGTGGTCCCGTAGAATAGCTTAAGACAAGTAGAATCTAGATCTAGAAAAATCTAGATCTAGAGTCAAGGCTGGATTAGATATCGGTATTTTTTTGGTACCCCTCCCGTTACACATTCGGCTAGAATCCAGATCTACCAGTTGTCCATTCTCTACTAGATCTAGATCAAAAAAATATTCATAAATCATATTGATGCACTGAACACGAATATCTTTATTTCCGTCTCAAATTAGATTAATAGTTTTTGAAATAGGCCTATGATTGTTCTTAAGATAGGCGTGCTTTGGACCAATCGGGGAGGGGGTCAGAGAAAATCGGGGGGGGGGGCGTTTTAAACTAGATTCTAGATCTATAATTTGATATTTTACAGTTAAATATGAAATTTTCTTGAAAATACTTAGATTTTTTAAAGCGCAGTTTTAGTGGCTTCATGTGTGATCTGCAGTTTTGACCCCCCCGAAGCAGTACATCTGTGTGCAGGAGTGGAAGTAAAAATTCTAGATTTCTGATCGCAAGGCTGCTGGTGGGAGTTATTGGAGCCACACTGAGGTTTTTATTCATAGGCTAGATATATCTAGATATATCTAGATCTAGATATAGGTTTTAGGTCTTGACAACCTACTGGCGATAGGGTTCGTGGTGAAGAGGGTAGGATTTTTTTTTTTTACGTTGACAAGTGAACTGTGCAGTGAGTTTGATTATTGTGATCTGACATCAGTTCTGTGCCGTTGGACGTGTTTTTGTTGGTATCGAGGAAGAAGAAAGTCATGAAGATCCAGGCCTATGATCAAAAGATCTTTGGTGGGCCCAGGGATAGATATAGATCTATGGCCTAGGCTAGGGCATATGATCTTGGCCACAGCGTCGATAATGGTTGTGTTTGTATCGCGAACTGCTGTTTACAAGATGCGCGGTCTGGTAGCGGTAGGCTTGGCTGGGGGGTTGTTTTGGTTAGTGTGAAGTATAATAGGCCATGTTACTGCTGCTCAATTTTTAAAAAGAAATTGTAGATCTGGATCTAGATTCTAGATCTAGGATCTAGAGTTAGACAGTCGTTAACACGATTTTGAAGGATAACTAATCTAATTGGAGCCTAACTAATTACTTAACCTAGGCTAGGGTCGGTCGGTCGGCAGGTACCATTTTAAAGTAGCGACGAAGGTCGTAGTCGTAGGCTTGGCCAGTTCACTCGGTCAAAAAAATGTTCGCGTGTTATACGATCTTTGGTTGCCCAGCGATACGGGATAGGCCTAGCGAAATTCGGAATTGTGCGATATTTTCAATATAAGGAGACAACGTAGCCAAGGCTTAGTAGAATCTAGGAATCTAGGAATCTAGAAATCTAATCTTAAAATTATTGGACCAGCGGACTGACTTTGCCTATGTCTCAACTTAAGAAATTCATAATTTTCCCGTTTGTAATATCTCTCAATGAAGAATCTCGGACCGGTAGTCTATCTAGATTTATTCATTAAAATTTTGTCA